CCTTTACGATTAGCAATCACAGAATAATAATTTCGATTGAAACTAGGCATTGCCATAAATGATGACGGCAGTAGCGTGTAGCATTACAGTAGTATAGTATCACAATGCTTATAATGGCTTCTCAGAAAAGGAGTAATGAACTGGTCTTTCTTCCTCAAAATGAATCTGAAGAAAAGAGCTACTTTTGTCTATCGATAAGAGAGTACTTTGCAGGAACAGAGCTACGTTTGTACATCGATGAGAGAACTCTTGTTCAGCGTTGAAAACCTGTGCTTAAGTGAATCACCATTCGTACAATTATAAACAAATGCTTTAACAGTGGTACACTTAACTGTGTAAATATCCTAACGATTTTGAAATAACCCGTCTCTGAAATACGCTGTATTGTCTGCCTTAAAACTTTGAATCTTAGCCTTAATGTGCCACACATTACTTGTCCGAAAATAAGCATAAACAAATTATGAGGTAATCGTCGAAAAACTGCAATACCAGCACAACTAGGCATGTGGTTGTCATCCCCAACAACTGAAGATCACCTAACACTGGCGACGAGTTATATGCAGAAAAAAGCTATTAGAAGCTCTTGCTGAAGGTCAAATTTTTCACACAACCATTTTCATGATTCTCAATCAGCTTAAAGACCAACCGATGGCATTTTGGAAAATCTGAATTATATTCTACAGGGAAATTCAGCATACTATTATTCTAAAATTATCATGTATAGAAGATCACACCAATTACATCAGCATATATGCCGCAACTTTGAACTATAGAAATGCAGTGACTATCATCAAGAAGACGAGTTTCTGAATTCCACTTCAGCAAGTAGAAATAAATGGACGGATTCTGCTTTCGAATCCTCCGAATTTCACTGATTCGTTCTGCTCAGTATTGCTTGTTATATAATTTGTTGTTATTTATGCAAAAACGCTTTTCAAGACGACTGATTCTCCTTTATTCCTTATGTACCATTACAAGAAATATCCAGAGTTAACTACCTGAAATCGCCAGATGTTGAATTTTTGGTGGCCTAAGGAACGGTGAATTTCACGTGAAAAATCCGACTAACTGGTTTTTGCAAGTGAATACCTCATTAACAGCTACTGCCTTTAAAACATGTCCATAAAAACCATTCGTTCAGGCGCATGGCGTTCGACTTCTGAACTGTTTTTCGACGACCATTAGAAAAACTCAGTGCTAAAAACACTAAACGACGCGCATCTGAATATCGCGCAAACGAGTGACAACGACTGAGGAGAAAGCTAAATAATAACTCGTGGTTTCCTTTAGTGAATGATCAAGGCCACAAACTGTCAGCAACACATGAGGTATTCCTTCGAGTGACTGCTGATAAGAACTGATAGCCTTTGTGTCCCTTTTCAGTTAACAGGGTTTGCCTCGTTTCACAGTACTATTGAACTTTCGTATGTGTTGCTGCTTTTGAACGAGATATAAGTTGTCGACAACAACTGCTTACCAGAGACAGGGCTGATGCTTCGGACAATGCTGGCTGATGAGGACGGGTCTCCGCTGAGCATATGCTGAGCGAACAGGCGTCGCATATACTTAGAGGCAGCCATTGTGGAGCGTGACGTTCGCTTCGTCCCGTTCACCACGTAAGAGGGACTCTGCTTAAAGTTTAATAGCGCCCTCAGCGTGTTGTGAAGCACTTTCTTCTGCAACGAGTTTGTGACCTGAACCGAGTCCGTGACTATGGCCAAAGTTTCGTGGTCAGAGAGCCAGATGGCCAGTGTCCACAACACGATGACCGCGCTCCATGACGCTGTTAATCTGACGCCAGCCATTTCTTCAGCGCATGTTGGTCATAAGCTGAAAATCCGCAAAGCGTTTCTTGATGACTCACTAAATCCAAGACATATGGTGTCTTCACGGCACCGAAAAGACTGGGCGTCACAAAAACTACACAACGACACGATTGAAGTAGTCAACCACTCTCACTACCACCCTATGGTTTAACAATGGGGCTCACCGAAAATCAGTATACGGTAAACTTGTGCTTGTCAGGTGACATGCTTCCCGCGTCCAATTGGCGTTAGTTGTTCAAATGTCAACCAATAGGCTCAGGCCAACAATTAATTGCAATGTTGTTGCAGTTAAAGGAAACTTATTGACAT